GCATATCAAGCACCGCAGCGTGGAAGGTTTTGTGAGCACCGAGGTCTGACGGAAGCTCCTCCAGCCCGAAAGGCGGCCGTGAACCGTGCAGCGCGTCCATGTCCCGGAGCATGCACAAGGCTGACAATCTGCCAAAGGTGCACGGGCGGACGAACACACCACGCATCTCCGCCTGAGCACGAGCCGCTGCAGCCTCCCCTGCCCAATCCAGCAGGAGGCGCGCCGACCGCTCGCCTCCCCGGCGCGGAGACCGTGAGCGCACGTGCGCCGCTGGCATCGCCCCCGGCCGCGCGGGGACTGGGCGCGGCCCGGCAGGAACCAGATAGCTGGGGAGGGAGGCGGGGGAGGAGGGAAGAGGAGGGGAAGGAAGGGGAGAAGGTGGAGGGCGGGTGGCGGCCGCAGCTGCGGCGCGTTGGCTGCGCACCGCCTCCGCTGATTCGGGGGAGCCCATGTAAAAAGCCCCCCCTCCTCCTCCTCCTCCTCCTCCTCCTCCTTCTCCTCCTCCTCCTCCTCCTCCTCCTCCTCACCCTCCTCCTTCCGGCCCGGAGGTCGCTGGCCCAATCGCGCGCCGAGACGTCCCAGGTTCACGACGGCCACACGAAAGTCCACGGGGGCCCACGGTGGCTCCACGCTGGCCCCAAGAGGCAACACGAGTGCCCCAACAGGGCGCCCCTGCCCCACGGGCCCCAAAGACAGCCCCAAAAGAGCCGCATGATGGCCCCACGGAGGATCGGGATGAGGAGGAGGAGGTGGAGGAGGAGGACGAAGAGGAGGAGGGAGAGGAATTGTCGACATTCAGAAGAGGACATGTGCAGTTACAGGTTTCGTATGTGTTGTCGTGTTGCTACGCGTATTCATCTTCGTACGGCGGAAGCCATGCCAAGAAACACCTTGCTTGCGTCCAGGGTGCCTTGGGTTTTTGTTGGTTTTGACGGTTTTGTGGAAGGTTTCTTGTGGTCGAGTTCCTATGGTACTCGTCCTCGTACGTGCTTTTGGGGCCTCTTGGGGAGCTTGGGGGGCGGCCTCTTGTGAGCGCCGCTTTGGGGACTCTGGGAGCTCGTGGGGGTCCTTCGGGAGGGGGCTTCCTGGGGGCCCACTGAGGGACATGGGCTCTTGCGGGCCAACGGCGTCACCCCAACATACTAATGCTATGTGTGCGTCGCCCCCCCAGAGTCGACGCACGCACCGAGAAATCTATAGTATATGCGTCGTGGTGGGCGCTTTCTGGCCACACCGCTTGGGAAACGATGTAGTGCAAGATGGGTATATATTATATGTTTGGGTCGGACGCGCGCCTCCAAGGAGGACATATCGTATTAGTATGTCTCTGTGCGTCCCAGGCCATCGTGTGGCAGAGAACTCCAAGGCACCAACAAGTTCCCTCTCTTCGGCCGCCCTTGGACCCTCTCGGGGGCTCCTGTTGTCATCTTGGAGGCCTCTCGGCTAGTCTCCGAACCCTCTTTAGCCGTCTCGGGGCTCCCTTGGATGCCTCTTGGGCCAGCTTGGGCCAGTCTGAGGGCATCTCGGGCCGCCTTGGTCTGCCAGACCGCGAAAATCATTCAACGAGTAATTGGAGATCCATGATGTTTACCTCTTGAGGCCCTCTTCGGGGTCCTTGGGCCCTCTTGGGGCACCTTCAGGCCCTATTGGGGTCGTCTTACGGCCATATTGGATCGTCTAGTTTGAGGCTTGCCCGGCGTGTTGGAGCCCGTCTCGAGACAGGTCGGAAGGTAGTTTGGAGGCCATCCAGGATGGTTTTGGAGGTTCCGAGGGTCTCAGAAGCGCGTTGATGAGCTCGTAGACCCCCGATCAAACGGAATGTTGCAACCCAGGGGAAAGGGAAATAGGGTAACAGCCAATCATGTCACACGTTTTCCTCTCCTTGCATGCAGGGGTCGGCGATGTGTTCTTCCGTCTTCTCCCCCTTTTCGTTGTCATTGTTATCCTCCTCATTCTCGTATTGCTCATCCCTCCCCCTCCCTTCTTCCATCCTACCCTCCTCTGCTCTCTCCTCCCTCATTCCTTCTGTTCCCCCCTCAGCTCCATTCCCTGATTCCTCCCCCCACCTCCTCCTCCCCAGCTCTTAGCTGCATGAGCGCGTGGGGCGGAGGGGGAAAGCAGCGGGTTGGAATATGCGTTTAGACCCGAGTGCGGGCCATCATCGCGGCTTCAGAAATGAGCGCGCTGATTTCGGATACAGCGGGGTCCCATCTTTCTTCTGCGCTATGCGCATGGCTCCACGGGAAGCCGTTGGGCGATGGTTCGGAGGAGGAAACCGATAACGCTCCTCCCTCTCCTCTTCTCATGTCCTCCTCCGCCTCCGCCTCTTCCTCCTCCTCCTCCTCCTCCTCCTCCTCCTCCTCCTCCTCCTCCTCCTCCTCCTCCCCCTCCTCCTCCTCCTCCTCCTCCTCCTCCTCCCCTCCCGGCGCTTGCAATGAAGCTCCAACCATGTAAGAGGAAGAACAGGAGCAGAAGGAGGACCTATGACGAGGCGGAGGATGAGCAGAAGGAGGAGCACCACGTCATGGTTTTCAGATCGGCTCGACCCTTGATTGGCAGGCTGGCACGTGCAGTGCGCAGATCTGTCTATCTTCTCTTCCGTCTTCTGCCTCCTCATCGTCATCATCTGTCATCCCGGTCTTGCCCTTGTCACTTTGTCCGTCCACCCTCACCCTGTTTGTTCTTTGTTCTCATCGTTCTCTTCTTCCTCCTCCTCCTCATCAGCATAATCATCATCAGCATCATCAGCATCATCCTTACCATTCATCATCATCACCATCATCAGCATCAGCATCGTCCTTGTCAGCATCAGCGTCATCAGCATCACCATCATCGTCATCATCATCAGCAGCATCATCATCGTCATTCCCATCACCATCCTCCTCCTCCTCCTCCTCCTCCTCCTCCTCCTCCTCCTCGCTCCTGTTTCCCACTCTGCAGCACGGGCCCCCGAGCCTCCCGGCTGTGTCCCACCGGCGTGTTCTTGGGCGTTGCGCAATGGGGGGATCATGAATGCGGGGGGGGGGCGAGGGTGGTCCGAAAAGGTACCCAAACGGCACAGAAACGAGCCCCTGTGGGGCTCCGAAGGGGCTCGAAAGGGGCACGAAAGGGAACCGTTTCTGACCCCCCCTCATTTTATGACCCCCCCATTCACGCCCAACCTTCCCTCCTGTCCTCCTCTCGTCTTCTCCGCCTCTGGGACGCCAAGGCAGGCGACGCCGTGATTGGAGAGAGCCGACGCCCTTAGAGGCCACGCTCGAATCGCTCCGCTCGCCCATCTCGTCTCCTCCCTCCCCCTCCCCCTCCTCTGTCCTCCTCCTCCTCCTCCTCTGTCCTCCTCCTCCTCCTCCTCATTCTCCCTCGCCCCTCCTCGTCGTCGCCCTGCTCCTCATCATCATTAGCGGCATCTCCAACCTCATCCATCCTGTTCCCTCTCTCCCTCCACCTTTCTCTCCCCGCCTCCCCGCGATCCCACATCCTCTACTCTCCTCTCACCTCCCTCCTCTCTGCTCTCCCCATCCTCTCCTCCACTCCTCACTCATGCTGAGAAGAGGACGCGAGGGAGAGACGAGAAGGAAGGGAGGGAGCACGTCGGGAGGGAGCACGCGAGAGAGGAGGAGGAGGAGGAGGAGGAGGAGAAGGAGTGCGCAGGACCAGAGCAAGCATAGGATATCCCCCCAGGGCTCGACCTAAACGGTGTGTTGGCGATCTGGTGTGCCGTTTTCTCTTCGACTTCGTTCTGCGCCAGAGGCGGGCTGAAGACAGAACGAGGGAAAGCGAAAACGATAACGACAAACACTGCCGGTCGACCCCTGTCTCCTTCCTGCTCCTCCTGCTCTTCCTCGTCCTCCTCCTCCTCCTCCTCCTCCTCCTCCTCCTCCTCCTCCTCCTCCTCCTCCTCCTCCTCCCCCTCCTCCTGCTCCTGCTCCTGCTCCCCCTCCTCCTCCTGCTCCTCCTTCCTGCTCCTCCTGCTCCTCCTCCTCCTCCTCCACCTCCCCCTCCTCCTCCTCCTCCTGCTCCTGCTCCCCCTCCTCCTCCTCCTGCTCCTGCTCCCCCTCCTCCTCCCTCCCTCTTCCTCCCCTCCCCTCCAAAAATACACCATTTGAATACTACTCTCCTCTCTCCCCTGATGACGTCTGGACGATATCTGGCCCCTTCCGCGCACCGTTTTTTACACAGGATTCCCCGGAGTTGGGTTATCGCTGGGATTTGTTCCAAAATGTTGATCCCGCTGAAGCGTTGGCCTCATTTTCAGACTTCCGCTCGTTCCGAATCGCGCTCCTGCTGCAGCGTTGGCCTTCCTTCCAGATAGGCCCCATAATCTAGAAGATACCCCCCGACAAAAACCGTCGGAAGTAATTGCACATTCGGTGCCGAGTCGTTGATTTTTGGGGCCGCAGAAGCCCAGCGCGTCGTTTTCAGGAAATATCAAGCGGGGGCCCCGGTTTGTGTTTTGAGAAGGCGGTGTTGGAAGCAGAGTTGGCGGATGGTCTCCATCAGCCCCGCCTTGTGTGGAGACTTGCTGGGAGCCCACGGAGCTAGAATGGAGCCACGACTCCAGACCGGCCCAGACCTCTCGAAGACGATCCATTTACCTTTTAAGGAACCTTGCGCCAGGCCATGACATGCTGTGGTATGCTACGCTCTGCCGTGCTCTTCTACGCCATGCCATGCTGTGCTCTACCATGCATCGCGCACCCTCTCGCAAGAATAGAGAGGATATCCACGCCATGGTATGGGATGGGAGGGAGGGGTAGGACGTCAGATATGAAGCGAGCGCACCTAGCTTCCCCCCCCTCCCCTCCCCTCCCCTCCCCTCCCCTCCCGCCTTCCACCCCCCCCTCGCCTCCCTCCCTCCCTCCCTCCCCTCGCCTCTCTCCCCCCCGCCCATCGCCTCCCTCCCTCCCTCCCTCCCCGCGCCTCTCTCCCCTCCGCCCATCGCCTCCCTCCCTCCCTCCCCTCGCCTCCCCCTCCCTCCTCCCCCTCCCCCGGAGCGCGAGGCGGCGAGTTCTGGCTGCTGGCGCTCACGTCCAACAGGACCCCGCCGGCGGGCGATCCGCTGCCCGCGCGTCGGCCCGCCGGGGCCGCGCGCCCGCCCGGCAAGGCCAGGGCAAACTCGCTCGAGGAAGCGCACAGCTGACGCTGGAAACACGGGAGGAGGAGGAGGAGGAGGAGGAGGAGGAGGAGGAGGAGGAGGAGGAGGAGGAGGAGGGAGGAGGAGGAGGAGGGGGAGGAGGAGGAGGGGGAGGAGGAGGGGGAGGAGGAGGAGAAAGAGGAGGGCGAGAAAGAGGAGGAGAAGGAGGACGAGGAGGAAGAGGAGGAGGAGAAGGAGGAGAAGGAGGAGGAGGAGGGCAAAGGTCAGGGGGAAGAGGGGCAGAGGGGGAAGAGGAGGAGGGGGCAAGGAGGAGGAGGAGGAGGAGGAGGAGGAGATGGAGCAGGAGGAGGAGGAGGTGGAGGAGGAGGAGGAGGAAGCGCCATCTGCGGGGACTTACCCCCCCGCGCCCAAGTAGGGGCCGCAGGGCCCCCACGGGCGGCGCCAGGCGTGGCGCCAGGCTGCGCGCCATGGTGGCATGCAGCGCTGCACGTGGCCGTGGCGCCCGTGACGCCTAGCCCGCGGCAGGGGGTCTTCTGCACCCCCTCTGTCCCTTACTGCGGATCCGGCACTGCCAAAAATTGCCTACGGAGATTGATCGGGCCTTTCGGGGCCTAGGCGTCGTGACAACGAGGCTTCCTTTAAGGCCTACCGCAGTCTGGCCTACGCCTCGCGGCGCGGCCAGCCTATCGCCATCATCGGCGTGATGCAGCTTGCGTGCCACCCAACGCCGTCCAAGGTCGACGCCAGCACCGACAGCATGCAGCTCATTGGCACTACGTAAATGCATCGTCATCGAGGCCCAGAGGAATCACGAGCGGGACGAGAAGAAGGAACAGACGACAACGAGGACGACTGGGACCAGCAGCAGCACCACCACCACAACGGCGACCAGCCCTACTACGACAACGACTGCGACCCAAGAAAAAAAGAACTGCGTAACAGGCAGCATGGCTCCGCCAACAACGCCGACGCCTACGCCTGCACCGTTGCCGACGTCTATGTGGGCACAGAGCACCTACGTGCGACCAGGCCAGGGATGAGGATGAGAGAGAGGAGCTGCAGGAGGCCCGCGTCGACGAGGCGTCGGAGGACCCCCAGGATTACTTGGGGTTGAGGGGACTCGGAGGAGGACCCTGTGGACCTGGACCTGGGTGAGGAGGTGGGGACCCAGGAACCAGCCCAGGCCAGGGGCCGCTTTCCCGACAGACCACGATCTCAGGGAGGCAGCTGCTGAGGCCGCGCGAGCCGCCACCGCACGCAGCCAGCAGCGCCACCGAGACGCGGCGGCGGCGGCAGCACCGGCATCCACGTCAGCACCAACATCAGCACGGACTCCAGCACCCACGTCAGCATCGACACCAGCACCGCCTTCACCGTCGACGCCAGCACCAGCGGCACCACCAACCCCAGCCTCAGCGTCAGCATCGAAGACGGCATCGGCTCCAGCACCAGAAAGCTTCCACGTCACCACCAACGCCAGCACCCATGACCACATCGACCCCCGCATCGCAAGCAGCCCTTACGACAGCATCGACGTCAGTATGGGCGCCAGCATGAACGCCAACATGGAACCCACACCGACGCCAGCATCAACTTCAGCGCTTGCTTCAGCATCGGCGCCAGCATCCGCACCAGCATCGAGGACAGCATAGACCCCAGCATCAGTACCGGCATCGACGCCAGCACCGACGCGAGCGCTACCCCCGGCATCGACGTTAGCATCGGCGCCAGGGGGGAGTGCTTCGTGTTGGGTGTGTGCGTGGGCGTGTGTCCCGGCCGCAGCCGCCGCACCACCCTCAAGCCGCTCCCGCTAGCCTGATTTTGCCGACTTGCTGCGCGCGTGGCCGCGACGACAAAGAGTGGCTGCATGGAAGTGCTTCGCCGCCCCAGCGCACGTGCCTCCCGGGAAGTCTGTGTGTTCGAGTCCGAGGGTGGTCGTGTCGGGTCCTGCCGATCTCCTCGGTTGTGCTGTTCCTGCCCGCTCCGCTCCCCCTCTGCCCAAAGGCGAGGAGGAGGCGGAGGGCTGCCCTGGCGCCTCACGCCCGTGTGCGCCTGCCCCCCAGAGCAGGAGCATGGCTGCCGAGCTGCCCCCGGTGCCCTCGGGGCGGTCGCCCGCCGACCACCCCGCCCCACGCCGCGGCTCGCCAGGATGTGGCGCGACAGGGACGGCGAGGAGCCGGTGCAGCTGGCGCGCGACGACCTGGTGACGCTGCTGCCAG